AACTAGATGTTCCCCATCTTTTTCCTTCTCCTTGGGCCTCCCTATTCCCTGAGACACAACAATATTGAAAATAGGCCAGTTAAGGGACTTCCCTGGTGGCACAGTGGTTAAGAATCCACCTGCCAATGCAGGGGACACGGGTTTGATCCCTGGTCTGGGAGGATCCCACATGCCACGGAGCAACTAAGCCTGTGCGCCACAACTACTGAAGCCCACGTGCCTAGAGCCCTGCTCCACAGCAAGAGAAGCCACCACAATGAGAAGCCTGAGAAGCCGGTGCACCTCAACGAAGAGTAGCCCCTGATGGCCCCAAGTGGAGAAAGCCCTCGCGCAGCAGTGTAGACACAACGCAGCCAAAAATAAAATAAATAAATTTTAAAAAAATTTTTTAAAGAAAATAGGCCAGTTAATAATCCTACAATTTGCCTTAAGTGTTCAAGTGAAAGGAAGAGTCACATGTCTCTCACCTTAAATCAAAAGACAGAAATGATTAAACTTAGTGAAAAAGGCATGCTGAAAGCCAAGACAAGCTGAAAGCTAGGCCTCCTGCACCAAACAGCCAAGTGTGAACGCAAAGGACAAGTTCTTGAAGGAAATTAAGAGTGCTACTCCAGAGAACATGTGAATGATAAAGTGAAACAGCCTTATTACTGATACGGAGAAAGTTTTAGTGACCTGGATAGAACATCAAACCAGATACAACAGTGCTTTAAGACAAAGCTTAATACAGAACAAGGCCCCAACTCTCTTCGATTCTATGAAGGCTGAGAGAAGTGAGGAAGAAAAATTTGAAGCTAGCAGAGGCTGGTTCATGAGGTTTAAGGCAAGAAGCTGTCTCTAGGACGTGAAAGTGCAAGGTGAAGCAGAAGGTTCTGATATAGAAGCTGCAGCAAGTTATCAGCAAGATCTAGTTAAGATAATTCATGAAGCTGGCTACACTATACCACAGATTTTCAATGTCAATGAAATAGTCTTATATTGGAAGAAGATGCCATATAGGGCTTTCATAGCTAGAGAGTAGAAGTAGGTGCTTTGCTTCAAAGTTTCAAAGGACAGGCTGACTCTTGTTAGGGGCTAATGCAGCTGGTGACTTTAAGTTGAAGCCAATGCTTATTGACCATTACAAAAATCCTAGGGCCCTTAAGAATTATGCTAAATCTGCTCCGCCTGTGCTCTTTAAACTGAACAACAAAGCCTGGGTAACAGCACACTTGTTTACAACATAGTTTACTGAGTATTTTAAGCCCACTGTTGAGATCTAGTGCTCAGAAAAAGATTCCTTTCAAAATATTACTGTTCATCGACAATGCATCTGGTCACCCAAGAGCTCTGATGGAGATGTACAACCAGATTAATGTTGTTTTCATGCCTGCTAACACAACATCCATTCTGCAGCCCATGGATCAAGGAATCATTTTGACTTTCAAGTCTTACTATTTAAGAAATACATATCATAAGGCTTTGGCTGCCAAAGATAGTGATTTCTCTAATGGATCTGAGCAAAGGAAACTGAAAACCTTTCGGAACAGGTTCACCATTCTGGATGCCATTAGAAATTCATGATTCATGGGAAGAGATCAAAATACCAATATTAAAGAGTTTGGAAGAAGTTGATTTCAACCCTCATGACTTTGAGGGGTTCAAGACTTCAGTGGAGGAAATAACTTCAGTTGTGGTGAAATAGCAAGAGAACTAGAATTAGAAGTGGAGCCTGAAGATGTGATTGAACGGCTGCAATCTCATGGTAAAACTTTCTCATGGATGAGGAGTTGCTTCTTATGGATGAGCAAAGAAAGTGGTTTCTTGAGATGAAATCTACTCTTGGGGAAAGTGCTGTGAAGATTATTGAAAAGACAACAAAGGATTTAGAATATTACATAAACTTAGTTGATAAAGTAGCGGCAGAGTTTGAGAGGATTGACTCCAATTTTGAAAGAAGTTCTACTGTGGGTAAAATGCTGTCAAACAGCATTATGTGCTACAGAGAAACTGTTCATGAAAGGAAGGCTCCATCGATGCAGCAAACTTCATTGTTGCCTTATTTTAAGGAATTGCCACAGCTACTCCAACCTTCAGCAACCATCATCCTGATCAGTCAGCAGCCATCAACATCAAGGCAAGACCTTCCATCAGCAAAAACATTACGACGTGCTGAAGTCTCAGATGATAGTTAACATTTTTTAGCAATAAAGTATTTTTAAGTTAAGGTATGTACATTGTATTTTTACACATAATGCTACTGCATACTTAACAGATTACAGTATAGTGTAAACATAACTTTTATATGCACTGGGAAACGAAAAAATTTGTGATTCACTTTACTGAGATACTTGCTTTATTGCAGTGGTCTGGAATGGAACCCAAAATATCTCTGGGGTATGCCTGTACATGCTGATGAATCTCAAAGTCCATATCTCCAGCCCAGATTTGTTTTCTGTGTTTTAGTTATATATGTACACACACACACACACACACACACACACACACACACACACACACACATTCCACAGGCACTTACCTCAATATCAACATGTCCAAAACTAACTTTATCTTTTTCTATTTCAATCTTAGTTGTTGTTGTTTTTTTCAAGCATTCCCTGTCTTAGTGAAAGACGCACTAACCATCAGTACCCAACCCAGAGAGGTGTTCATTATCCTTAAGGCTTTCCACTTTTTCTCCCCATGCAAGCCATGAATCACTGGGTCTTAAATATTTTTATCTTCTAAATATCTTTCTAATCACTCCGCTTCTCCTTATCAACACTAGTATTACCTTCATCCAGGCTACCATCACCTCCTAACTGGTCTCTCTGATTCCAGTTATTCCCCCTGAAACTGATTATCATACTTCAGCCAATTTTGATTTTTCAAAAATGCAGGTGTAATTATGTTAATCAACTGTTTAAGATCCTACATTGTATTATAAGTGCCTTTAGGATAAATTTTTAAATGCATGCCATAACTCATATAATTGTTTATGTCCTTACTCTGCTTCTTTCCCCCAATCTCATTTTAACATTCTCCCCCTTCCATGGTTTAAAGCTTGAGGCATATTTAACTTCCCTGTTTCCTTAAAATATCCATTCAAAGCACTTCTTCTTCTCCTGAATGGCTCCTCCAGATCACAACTTGTAGTTCAATACCTTAGGAAAGGTTTCAGTGATGTCCAAAAATATGGATTAGATTTTACTTATTTTAACAGGCACATAACAAGCACTTACTAGCCACTTTGTAAAAATTAACTCATTAGATTCCTATAATAATAATCCTACGAGGTAAACACTATTATTACCCCTATTTTACAGTTAAGGAAGCAGAGGTACATAACTTGCCCAAGACTTAAGATAGTGAGTAGGAGAACTAGGAATCTAATGTAGACATTTTGGTTCCAGAATCCATGTTCATAACCACTATGCAATGCTGTCTCCTAGGTATAAGATGTCCCTTCTTGTTATTTATATATTACTATTTACCTGTGCATACATTCTGGCATATTTTATTTTATTTTTTTTTTTTTAACTTTTTTTTTTATATTTATTTGATTGTGTTGGGTCTTAGTTGTGTCATGCTGGATCATTTTTTAGTTGTACTATGTGGGATCTAGTTCCCTGACCAGGGATCAAACATGGGCCCGCTGCATTGGGAGTGCAGAGTCTTAGCCGCTGGACCATCAGGGAAGTCCCAATACTAACTTTTTTTGAGCACTTTATATGTTTTATCTCACTGAATCTTCAAATAATTCACTGTAGTTTGTACCATAATTCTCCTCATTTTTTAAAGTGAGCAAACCAAGCTATGGAGAGGTACTTAAAATTCACAGAATAGTATGTGGTAGAGTTGGAATCCAAACTTACTACAGAACTCTTGCTCTTAAACCACTACTTTATGTTCTTGCCCTTTGTCCTGTTCCATGTGGTATCTTCCAATGCCATGCGTGGGTTGTGACCTGTAGTGCCAACTGATGCTCAGCAGAATGCCACCTGCAGAACAGGGGGGATTCTCTCCTGAGGTTCTGAACCTCAAGAGGGAAAAGCCTTGCTTAAAAATGGTGTCATTCCTCAGACACAGCGCCTTTCCCAGAGCTCCATTCATCCTTCGCTGCTGCGCGGCCTGTAATTGTACCAGCTGAAGATCGGCCCAAGAAGCCGCGACCGCTGGGCGTCCGAAAACACTAACTCCATTCTGGCATATTTTAATTACTTGCCTGACAAATTTTCTAGACTGTGAGCTCCATAAAGATGCACATACGTATTTTTAAAAATATACAAGTGAAAAAAGCAATGACATTACTAACTATAATCGACTGAAATCTATAAGTGTTTACAAGAGTGTAGGGGAGAATATATTTGCAATTACTCAATAAATGGCCTGAATAAAATATAATTTCTTCAGTTCAGGACATTTTAATGGCTCCTCTTGTCAGGCATTCAAAACAGTGATAATTCAGTGCACTTCATGAACCTTGTTTAAATACTGATTCAAACAAACCAACAGTAAAAATTATTTTGGAGGAAAATGTGTAAAACCAAACACAGATTGAATATACATTATATTAAGCTACCAGCACTAAATTTGTAGATTGTGATAGTGGTATAGTATATATTTTTAAAGTCCTTATCTATTACAGATACTTAATGAAGTATTTAGAGGTAAAAATACGTGGTGTCTGGGATTTGCTTTAAAATACTCCAGATGAATTTATGAATTACTTGTTCAAAGAGAGAAAAAAAAATTCTACTGAAAAAATTCATAGAGACACATGGTGGCGCTGCAGGATAAGATGAAAAGAGTGCTTCTGCAACACTGTGGGCTCCATTATTCACGGGAACAGAGAACATCCAACCCACTGAAAAGAGAGATATTACGGAGCTTCACCTACAGACCTGCTGGAGGTTTATATACTCTCTAGAAGTTTCCAATAAAAAAAGAATCAGAGCCTCAGCTTGCAAAATTAGAGCTGAACTTAAATTTTTCCACAAAAGAGGTTTCTTGAAGAAACCATGGAGATCAGAGGGGCACTCGTTCTGCGGAAAAGGCAAGTTCTGATAATCTTTGTTTTACTGGGATTGTCTCAGGCAGGTCCTGAGACTGTGCACTATTCTGTGGCAGAGGAAAGAGAAACTGGCTCTGTTGTGGCCAATCTGGCAAGGGATCTGGGGCTTGAGGTGGAGGAGCTCTCTTCGCGGGAGGCGCGGGTAGTGTGTGATGATAATGAAAAGCATTTGCACCTCGATTTGTTGACCGGGGATTTGCTCCTAAATGAGAAACTGGACCGGGAAGAGCTGTGTGACTCCACGGAGCCCTGTGTTCTGCATTTTCAGATGGTATTGGAAAACCCTTTACAGTTTTTTCGGGCTGAGCTGCATATCAAAGATATAAATGATCACTCCCCTACATTTCTTGACAAGGAAATAGTTATTAAAATATCAGAGAGTACCATTATTGGAACCACATTCCTAATGGAGAGTGCCCAAGATTTGGATGTAGGAAGCAACAGTCTCCAAAACTACACAGTTAGCCCGAATTCTCACTTCCACATTAAAATTCAAGACAGTGGTGATGGAAAGATATACCCTGAACTAGTCCTGCACAGAGCGTTGGACCATGAGGAGGAGCCTGAGCTCAGATTAACACTCATAGCACTGGATGGTGGATCCCCGCCCAGGTCTGGGACAACTTTGGTCCTCATCAAGGTCTTGGACATCAATGACAATGCCCCAGAGTTTCCTCAGAGGCTCTACAAGGTGCAGGTCCTGGAGGACACACCTGTTGGCTCTTGGATTATCACCATCTCTGCTAAGGATTTGGATGCAGGAAACTATGGGAAAATATCTTACACATTTTTTCATGCATCAGAAGATATTCGTAAAACATTTGAAATCAATCCACTATCTGGGGAAGTTCATTTGCGATCACACTTGGACTTTGAAGCAATACAGTCACACATTATAAATATTCAGGCAACAGATGGTGGGGGTCTTTCGGAAGAATGCACTCTTCTGGTTAAAGTAATAGATATAAATGACAATCCACCAGAAGTGACCATGTCATCAATTACAAAGATAATTCCAGAGAACGCCTCAGAGACCCTTGTGGCTCTTTTTAGTGTCCGAGACCAAGACGCTGGGGAAAATGGGAGGGTCGTTTGCTCTATTCAAGATGACCTCCCATTTTTTCTGAAACGGACCTTCAAGAACTTTTTCACTCTAGTTGCAGAAAAAGCACTGGACAGAGAGGAAAGAGCCGAGTACAACGTCACCATCACCGTCACTGACATGGGAACCCCCAGGCTGAAAACCGAGCACAACATAACCGTGCTGGTGTCCGACGTCAACGACAACGCCCCCGCCTTCACCCAGACCTCCTACACCCTGTCCGTCCGCGAGAACAACAGCCCCGCCCTGCACATCGGCAGCGTCCGCGCCACAGACAGAGACGCGGGCGCCAACGCCCAGGTCACCTACTCGCTGCTGCCGCCCCTCGACCCGCACGTGCCCCTGGCCTCCCTGGTATCCATCAACCCGGACAACGGCCACCTGTTCGCCCTGAGGTCCCTGGACTACGAGGCCCTGCGGGCGTTCGAGTTCCGCGTGGGCGCCGCCGACCGCGGCTCGCCCGCGCTCAGCAGCCAGGCGCTGGTGCGCGTGCTCGTGGCGGACGACAACGACAACGCGCCCTTCGTGCTGTACCCGCTGCAGAACGCCTCGGCGCCCTGCACCGAGCTGGTGCCCAGGGCGGCCGAGGCGGGCTACCTGGTGACCAAGGTGGTGGCGGTGGACGGCGACTCGGGCCAGAACGCCTGGCTGTCGTACCAGCTGCTCAAGGCCACGGAGCCCGGCCTCTTCGGCGTGTGGGCGCACAACGGCGAGGTGCGCACGGCCCGGCTGCTGAGCGAGCGCGACGCGGCCAAGCACAGGCTGCTGGTGCTGGTCAAGGACAACGGCGAGCCACCGCTCTCGGCCAGCGTCACGCTGCATGTGCTGCTGGTGGACGGCTTCTCGCAGCCCTACCTGCCGGCCCCGGAAGCGGAAGCGGCGGACGCGGCCCCGGCCGCCCCGCTCACCGTCTACCTGGTGGTTGCCTTGGCGTCGGTGTCGTCGCTCTTCGTCTTCTCGGTGCTGGTGTTCGTCGCGGTGCGGCTGTGCAGGAGGGGCGGGGCGGCCTCAGTAGGTCGCTGCTCGGTGCCCGAAGGCCTCTTTCCGGGCCACCTGGTGGATGTCAGCGGCACGGGGACCCTGTCCCAGAGCTACCAGTACGAGGTGTGTCTCATGGGAGGTACTGGGACGAATGAGTTTAAATTTCTGAAGCCGATTATCCCTAATCTTCCAGTCCAAGACACTGGTAGGCATATAGGAGAAAATGAGAACTTTAGGAATAGCTTTGGATTCAACATTCAATAAAATAGTTTACTTTAAACTTCTAATCTTTTGTCATTCTTGGCAAACTGTGGATCCATTTTGCCAATCTGTAATAGATTTTACGTTGGACGGTAGTTGCATGCATTAATCATTCCTCATGTTCTCCTCACAGTTGCTTTAAAAATCTTTGTGGCTATAATGACATGAAAAATAATCTGTGTTCTGCTTTTTCATATATTTGGTCAAAATTTCATATTAATGGAGTTATTGCTAATTTTTTGTTCTGATAATGGCATAGTTATGCAAGACGATGTCATTATTTGGAGGTGCAAACTCAAGTATTAAGAGCAAATGCCACAATGTATGTAATTTACTTCTAGACATTTCATCAACGCATAGATACAGCAAAAATTAAAAGTGCTGTTGTAGAGAATGGACTTGAGGATATGGGGAAGGGGGAGGGTGAGCTGTGACAAAGCGAGAGAGAGGCATGGACATATATACACTACCAAACCGTAAGGTAGATAGCTAGTGGGAAGCAGCCATATAGCACAGGGAGATCAGCTCGGTGCTTTGTGACCACCTGGAGGGGTGGGATGGGGAGGGTGGGAGGGAGGGAGACGCAAGAGAGAAGAGATATGGGAACATATGTATATGTATAACTGATTCACTTTGTTATAAAGCAGAAACTAACACACCATTGTAAAGCAATTATACCCCAATAAAGATGTTTAAAAAAAAAAGTGCTGTTGAAGCTGGGTGGAAAGTATATTGGATTTTACTGCACTATTCCCTTTGAAAATTTTCATCACAAAGGGTAAAAGTGCCACCTCTCCAGTATTCAGTAGTAGGGTATCTTATTTGTTTGTTTGTTGTTATATAGTGTTTTTCAAGAATTCACTTTATGACAAGATAAAAGTGACCACACTGAAAATTATTGATTTCTTAAGTAATTTTCCTTTTTTTACTGTTCGTTGATGCTGTTTTGGGAAGAGTCTTATAATGTTCCGGGATTTTATGTTGCTATTTTGTTTTCTTTCAATATACCACATTTGCTGGTTTAAATTTGTATTATTTTATATTGTTCATTATGTAACTCATACGTTCATGGTATCATCTTGAGTAAATACTCCTCCATCAGAAGAGTACAGATAAAAACTTCTTAAGAAATTAAAATGAAAATTCAAACTGGTAGAGAAATTAGGTTCACTTTTCTATTGATTTTAAAAAGTAAATATAGGGCTTCCCTGGTGGCGCAGTGGTTGAGAGTCTGCCTGCCAATGCAGCGGACAAGGGTTTGAGCCCTGGTCTGGGAAGATCCCACATGCTGCGGAGCGACTGGGCCCGTGGGCCGCAACTACTGAGCCTGCGCGTCTGGAGCCTGTGCTCCACAGCAAGAGAGGCCGCGACAGTGAGAGGCCCGCGCACCACGATGAAGAGTGGCCCCCGCTTGCCACAACTAGAGAAAGCCCTCGCACAGAAATGAAGACCCAACACAGCAAAAATAAATTAATTAATTAATTTTAAAAAAAAAGATTAAAAAAAAAAAGTAAACATAAAAACATCCTTAATACTTTGTGGCCTCTCTCAGATGTTCACAAAGAAGGAATAGGTCTATATTAATGGTTTATAGATGTCTCATGGTGCTCCAAATTATAATGTCTCCAATCTATAAGTGTACAGTTCAGTGGACACTTTGGTAACTAGAATGTAGTGTGGATATAGAGCTACTGTGCATATACATTTCTGTGATTTCTCTCATAAAATTAAATATTATAGACTAGATGATGTAGTAAAATGCAATTTTGCTTGACATTGTGAAATGGGTAAAACAAATTCCAGTTTTTTGGAAATTTTTTCTTTGCTTCATGCAGTTTTTACTGGTCTTATTTTGTGTTGCAACAGATATTTACTAGTTGTGAGAATTTTATTAAATAGACATTTAAGCAGTACAATACTGAAAAAGAATGTTTGGGCCCTCTTTATCTCTCAGAGTCATTAGAAGCAAAGCTTATGCTTCTTATGCATGAGAGTAAGAGTAGATAACAAAATATCCTATTTGAATGATACAGAAACAAACTTGTACACTACCAGATAGAATGGAATTCAAGGTCAGATATTTTATATAAGAAAATTTGGTGATGACTGAAGAGGTGTCAAAATCACTTGGGGTGGGGCGGGAAGAGACTGATTACTTAGCAATGTTATTGTGAAAACTGGCTCACTATATAAAGAAACAAAATCCTTATCTCATGTGATATAAAAATAAACTTCATGTGGATCTAAGAGGTGAATTTGAAATATTTAATTGAAAAAATGTAACAAGTCTAAGTAAAAATATCCTTATGACCTTATTATTGATTTCGATTTCTTAAACAAGGTTTTAAAAGTGCCAACAGTAAGGATAAAAATTGACAAATATTACTACCTCAAAACTAGAGGACAGCCCAGACAAGCTAGCAGATGACAGACAGGGAGAAGCTACTTGCAGCATTTTCACTGAGAAGGATTAATATTTAGATTATTCAGATAAGTCTTGCAGATAGCAAAAGTCAGAAAGTCGGGAGAGCCAATAGAATATTTTTAAAAGGACAAAAGGGAAAGGAAATTCAAAAGAGGGGAAAACAGAAAGTCTGAGAAGAACATGAAGTGATACTCAACCTCATTAGTTGCTGATACACATGATAAAATAGCAGTTTATACCCATAGCATTAGTAAAGATGACAAATTTCCATCAAGTGGAACCATAGGAAATTGCATATACACCCCATTTTGAAAGAGTTTCAATAGTATTTTTTTTTTAACATCTTTATTGGGGTATAATTGCTTTACAATGGTGTGTTAGTTTCTGCTTTATAACAGAGTGAGTCAGCTACACATATACATATGTTCCCATATCTCTTCCCTCTTTGTCTCCCTCCCTCCCACCCTCCCTATCCCACCCCTCCAGACAGCCACAAAGAACCGAGCCGGTTTCCCTGTGCCATGCGGCTGCTTCCCACTGGCTATCTACCTTACGTTTGTTAGTATATATATGTCCATGTCTCTCTCTCGCCCTAACACACCTCACCCTTCCCCCTCCCCATATCCTCAAGTCTGTTCTCCAGTAGGTCTCTGTCTTTATTCCTGTTTTACCCCTAGGTTCTTCATAACATTTTTTTTTCTTAAATTCCATATATATGTGTTAGCATACGGTATTTGTCCTTCTCTTTCTGACTTACTTCACTCTGTATGACAGACTCTAGATCTATCCACCTCATTACAAATAGCTCAATTTCGTTTCTTTTTATGGCTGAGTAATATTCCATTGTATATATGTGCCACATCTTCTTTATCCATTCATCCGACGACGGGCACTTAGGTTGTTTCCATCTCCGGGCTATTGTAAATAGAGCTGCAATGAACATTTTGGTACATGACTCTTTCTGAATTCTGGTTTCCTCAGGGTATATACCTAGTAGTGGGATTGCTGGGTCATATGGTAGTTCTATTTGTAGTTTTTTAAGGAACCTCCATACTGTTCTCCATAGTGGCTGAACCAATTCACATTCCCACCAGCAGTGCAAGAGTGTTCCCTTTTCTCCACACCCTCTCCAGCATTTATTGTTTCTAGATTTTTTGATGATGGCCATTCTGACTGGTGTGAGATGATATCTCATTGTAGTTTTGATTTGCATTTCTCTAATGATTAATGATGTTGAGCATTCTTTCATGTGTTTGTTGGCAGTCTGTATATCTTCTTTGGAGAAATGTCTATTTAGGTCTTCTGCCCATTTTTGGATTGGGTTGTTTATTTTTTTGTTATTGAGCTGCATGAGCTGCCTGTAAATTTTAGAGATTAATCCTTTGTCAGTTGATTCATTTGCAAATATTTTCTCCCATTCTGAGGGCTGTCTTTTGGTCTTGTTTATGGTTTCCTTTGCTGTGCAAAAGCTTTGAAGTTTCATTAGGTCCCATTTGTTTATTTTTGTTTTTATCTCCATTACTCTAGGAGATGGGTCAAGAAGGATCTTGCTGTGATTTATGTCATAGAGTGTTCTGCCTATGTTTTCCTCTAAGAGTTTGATAGTTTCTGGCCTTACATTTAGGTCTTTAATCCATTTTGAGCTTATTTTTGTGTATGGTGTTAGGGAGTGATCTAATCTCATACTTTTACATGTACCTGTCCAATTTTCCCAGCACCACTTATTGAAGAGGCTGTCCTTTCTCCACTGTATATTCCTGCCACCTTTATCAAAGATAAGGTGACCATATGTGCATGGGTTTATCTCTGGGCTTTCTATCCTATTCCATTGATCTATCTTTCTGTTTTTGTGCCAGTACCATACTGTCTTGATTACTGTAGCTTTGTAGTATAGTCTGAAGTCAGTATAGTCTGAAGTACACCCCATTTTGAAGGAGTTTCAATAGTATTTAATGAAATTTAGTATGTACATACTTTATGATCCAGCAATTCTACTTTGGGGCATATAAACCAGAAAATTCTTACACAGCTTTACAAAATGAAGTGCATGATAATGTTCATCTTGGAAAAGCAAAGAATAGGAGTCTATCTACATATCCATCAGTAAAGCAATTGATAAATAAAATGTGGAACATGTTTGTGAAGGATTATTATGCAGTGATCAAAAGGAGTGAACTAGGTGTACAGACAACCACATGAATAAATTCCAAATGTTTCAAAAGGAAGAAAAAGCCTGAGATTTATTGTATGTACCATATATATCCATATAATACATAATATCTTAAACTTATAGAAATATACAAATATATAAACATTGGAAGAAGAGAAGAAGGAACAAATGTAGGAAAGAAGATGTGTGTTTCTACATAGGAGTGCAGACATAAGTGTGAGCTATACCAATGTCAATGATAAGACATTGTTTAAATTGATTGCAGCATTACAGAGTTGATTTAGTATTGATCAGATGAAGTTGGTTTAAAAAAAACACATTATTTCTCTATCCTCTCAATAAGATCAATTTCCCATACTCCATGAAAGCTAAAAATTTGCTTGTCATTTTAAGACATAAAAATATCCTTGAGAATTTACCTTTTTAATAAGGGTGGTATACATATGTACACCAACACTTCCACTGAAAAAAATAGCTAATAAAACACTAATATATTGTCAGGTCACAGTTAATGTTTAAAGGTAACTCAGAGAGAGGAAATCAGCCCCAAATCCACTTTTTTTTTTTTTTTTTTTTTTGCGATATGTGGGCCTCTCACTGTTGTGGCCTCTCCGGTTGCGGAGCACAGGTTCCAGACACGCAGGCTCAACGTCTAGGGCTCATGGTCCCAGCCGCTCTGCGGCATGTGGGATCTTCCCAGACCGGGGCATGAACCCGTGTCCCCTGCATCGGCAGGCAGACTCTCAACCACTGCGCCA